ACGTGCTGCCAGCCTCTTCGAAGGAGCGGGCGACAGGCTGCTGATCTGTGAGAGGCAGCAGAGAAATTTTGCTTCAAATCTTTTTCCTTCTTCTTCTTTTTATTTTTGTTAAACACTCTCTTCAGTGAAAGGGGTTTTCCACCATTCAGATTCTTCTTCTAGTTCCTAGTTACAACCCTCCAGAGCTACATGGAAAGCAAGCAATAACCGAAAAGGGGTGTAAGTGCCTGACCCCGTTACTGAAGTGAACCTTACTCAGACTTCTACAAAGGGCTAAATCTTGAGTAAGCTGCCAGAAAGGCACAACAAGCTCAGCGCTGAGCAGGACTGGAACAGGCACTCCAGCTCCTGCAGAGACTGTGCCCTTGGGAGCAATGGGATTTCTGTAACGGCTCTCCCATTGCTGAACTCTGCTGCTTTCATAGCTCAAGTTCATGTTTTCTTTGGGTTTCTGTAACTAAGGTAATTCACATGAGAAACAGCCAGGTTGTATTACCGTCTACGTGAAAAAAAAAGAAAAGAAAAGAGAGATAAAGCAGAAGAGGGGGTCTGAACACATGAAATGTTTAAAACCCTCTGAAACTTCTCAAAAGCACATCTGATGGATCACAATAAAAAAAATTTCTGCTTACGAGGTCAAGATAAGATTATCCTTCCTTCCCCTGCCCACGGCACACTCCCTGTTCTGAGGCTATTAATTAGAAACCCCTCAATTCAAAAGAAATTCAATGGAAAACAAACAAACTTCTAGCATTTCTGTTTTACTGTATTTTTCTCTGAAAGGGCAGCAGTGGTAGCCTCTGGGCTATTTATTCTGGGAACCCTCATCATGAAACTTGTTCCCTTTGCCCTGGCTTCTCCGAGGAGCCTCTGAAACATTGAGTTTGACCGTGGCCGAAGCTGCAGCTTTTCTGGTTGAGTAACGCTTTGGCTCAGAGCCTGGGCTCCAGCCTGCACAGAGCGGCTGCCGGGGGAGCCCCAGGGGCCCCGGAGTTACCACGCGAAGGATTTTGGAGGGGAAATCCCCTGGCAGCACCAGGACATCATCCCTTGCGGCGCCGGAGAGGACCCGGCAGCACATGTGGCATCGCCGGCTGTGGCACGTGGTGCTCTGTGTGCTAGGGGGTGGAAAAGAAAGCCCGGGATTTCTCAAACCGTGATAACTAGTTTCTGTCTTATGACCGTTCATAACTAGGAGTTTGTGTCATTGGTCAGGGTGTTGGTGCCAAATCGCGATGAGGACAATATTCTCCGGGAGGTCCACACGCCCCAGTAATACCAAAACTCATCAAAACAGCACTTGGGAAATGACCTGTTCAAGGCAGGAGTTGCTCAAATCTGCCTCTGTAGGGTGCTCAAAAAAAAAAGAAAGGCAATGCAAGAGATGCGTGGGTAAGTCAAAACGGACCATGTATTGAGTGGGGGTTTGCGCGCTTTTACCTTCTTAACTTACTTGTGAACAAACTGGTCTGAGAAAGCCTCGTTCATCCTCCCTGCTCACTCGGAGCACACGTTCCCCGCTCCCTGAAGGGCCAGTGCTGAGATCTCCTCGGTTTCTCTAAGGACAGGACAGGGCAGGTTCGAGCATCTTGGAAAATCCCTGCCAACAGCTTCCTTCAGGAGAAGAGAGAAGAAAGGCAACACCACCCGCGCTCGTGACTGCTCCAGAGCGGGGAACGGCCTCACGCGGAGGGGCAGTGTCCCTCACTTTCAGGTGACAATTTCAACTTGATTTAGACCAAATGGAAGTTCTGGACTTGCCAAGATCTGATGCAATTTTCTGTCTATGTCAAATCACATTAGAGGTCACCGTAACATCCTCTATTCATGATTAGTAACCAATTTCTGAACTCTTTGATGTTACAAGACAAAACAATGACATTGGTTAAATTTCCAAAGAGTAATTTGGGATTTACCTGTTGAGCTCAATATGAGTCACGTTGCAAATTCCGACAAGGCTAGGAAACAGGTTTCCAGAAGTGAAATATCCGACGTCATGCCTTGCCAGCAAAAAAAAAAAAATAAAAAAAAAAATAAAAAAAAATTCAGCAGTCCACTTCATGCTTCACCCATCAGGAACTGTTAGTCATCAGTGATGGGACTGCTGAGAGAGCAAAATCGCTTCAAAATTTTGCTTCATACAAGGTGAATAAAAGGCTGCCCCCAGAGCATCACTGACGGCAGATCTCCTGAATCTGAAGGGATGAGAAATGGGGAATTTTTGCAAAGAAAAATCATGCATTATTATGATAGCCTGGAAATCCAGGGGATCCTCCAGGCTATACTTAGAATAGCCCATAAAACACACAATGTTTCTTTGTCCCAAAGCAATGACAGAGACCAAGAAGGAAGAAAAAGAAAAAAAGTAAAAATTTTCCCACAGCAAACCTTGCCAACGTAAGAAAAGCTCCACACACAGGCAGCCCTGCGGCAATCGGGGTGTCCTGGCGAACGCGCAGCCCTGGGTGGTTCGTGGGAGGTGGGTAAAAGCATACGAAAAGCTTTTGAGTAACGCACTTCCCTTCCTGAAACGATCTTCTTGGCAAACGTGAAAGATGTTTCCTAAAGGTTTAGAAATACACCCACACCACAGGAGGTGTTGGCATCCCCCGGACACTCTTTAGGCAAAGGTGCTTTGTTCATTCATGCAGCCGCTCCGTAGTACTGCAGAGTCAACGCGTTTCCAGGGCACCGAGCAAGAGTGAGTCAGAACGAAACTGCACCGTCAAGATCTCTGATGCGGCAAAGGAAATACAGGTAAACACAGCCGAGTATCATCTGCACGAGTTTCCTTTGTGGAATGGACACTTCTGGCTTACGCTTGTACCAAAAAAAAAAAAAATTTAAAAAAAAATACAAGTGAAGTTCCAAAACAGGCAGGATAGAATTGCACAAGACCGAGACTTTGTGCACTGAAATGACTTCATGGAGACCCCCTCCCCACCCTGACTGCTCAGAGCAAAAAAAAGTTTAGAAATGAGTGCTCAGCTCCTCAGCAGAAAGGGAGGAGGGCTCCCGGCATGGAGCGGGTCCCAGTCTGTCCAAAGATCCTTTGCTCTGTGTCCCACAAAAACAGGCTGGGCGACCCATGGCAGATTGAAGTTAACGAAAAGAAACAAAAATCGTCCCCAAGGTGGGAGCCAAGGGGGAAGCAGAGAAAGGCGGGTTCCTCCCGGTGGAAACGGGCTGAGTTTAAAACTACTGAGTTTTGCCTGAGCCATCTGCCGCTGCTCGCTCTTCTCCTTTCTCACAGCTTCTGCGGGAGGTCAAAAACAGGCTGGGCGACCCATGGCAGATTGAAGTTAACGAAAAGAAACAAAAATCGTCCCCAAGGTGGGAGCCAAGGGGGAAGCAGAGAAAGGCGGGTTCCTCCCGGTGGAAACGGGCTGAGTTTAAAACTACTGAGTTTTGCCTGAGCCATCTGCCGCTGCTCGCTCTTCTCCTTTCTCACAGCTTCTGCGGGAGGTCAGGGCGAGAAACTGCACGGCTGCGTTGGAGAAAAACGGGTCACCAAATCCGTGACACAGGCTGTGATTCAATCGGAGTGATTCACCGGGAGCAGGTGTCCTCATCATCTCTGGAAGAAGCAACATCAACAACAAAAAGGAAAACAAATGGAAACACAAAACCCCACACTGTCTTCACCTCACACCCTTCAGCCACAAACTTTCATCCCCTTTGCTTGTGCTCATTCGTACGTACACCAAACATTCCTCTCTTTTGCTCCCCAAAATAAAATTTTAAAAATCTAATTAAAATGTAACAAACAATACTTTGCATTTTTCCGGCTTTTTTTTTTTTCAACTTAAAAGGAGTTCTGTGCGGTGAAGGAGATAAGAATAGAAGCATTTGTCCGAAACAAGGTGTCGGAGGCAGGCTGGGAAGAACACACATCTCAAAATAACACAGAAGATTTCAGAGAAAACCCTCTGAGTCCAGAAAGGACAAACTTAGCTTCACTTTCTCCTTCTTGGACAGTGGATTCCCAAATATGCCAGTGAAATCTTTATCACAAGGAAGCTGGTGTGTGCAAAAATAGAGTGCGAGAGAAAGGAAAGTGGAAACCGAGAGACGTCAGGAATTCTCTTCAGCTCTGAAATGATAATTTTCTTGGAGCTGGGACAATAGGGCTCAGTTAACACAGCACATCAAGTCCATAGAGCCAGCACTGGGCTGCTCCGATGGGGCTCCTGCCCATTTCTGGGAAATGAAATAGGATCAAAAAGCCAGGAACACGAATATTCATGACTTGCTCCTACCTTTGAACACACAGAACAACGTTAAAATAGCAACTCTTGCGGCACAAAGCCTGCTCCTGGGCAGCCACGGATTGGAAGAGCAGTCTTTGAGCTGGATAAAGGCAGTAAAAATTCACATCATCTTCAGCAGACACATATGTTAACCGAAAAAAAAATAATTAAAAATTGAGGTTGAAGATTATTGTGTGTATTTGCAACAGAGCGTTAGAATGGCAAAGGGAGGAGACAGTGTAATCATGCAAGTTCTTTAAAAGCAATGCTGCTGGGGATCCCAAGGGCAGGTTTGATACGAGGTTTAGAAATATAAACACTTTTTTTCCACCTAACAATAGGGCATTCTTCTAAAAATAAAAAGTAACCGTGAGAATGCAGAAGTAACCTCACACAGCACCTTTTCTTCTTCGCGTTGTATCTGAAGCTTTCCTCTTTAGCCACATTTAAATTTACAAGAAGCAAGCAAAGAGAAAAAAAAAAATGCAGAGTCTAAGCACAAAAGATTTGATGGGGTGTGAGGAGAGGAGCAGGGTCAAAAGAACAGGAAACCCAAGTTGACGGGAACCCAAGTGACATTTGGTTTAATGAATTACTTAAAACCCCAACCCCAATATTGCTCGCAGGAAATGGGGAAAGGAAACAGAGCCGCGAGTATAAATGAGGGGCTCCATCAAGGTGAAGGCTGCAGATCGGCTTTTTACCCTCCTCGTGCAATTTGCCCTCCGGCTGGACCGAGGCGAGCCGAGGATGAGAACCTGCCCAGCGCTGCTCCTGCTGCTCCTGGCCACCAGCTGCCCCCCGGCCGGCACCTCGGCCCCCCAGCCCAGCTGCCTCCACTTCCCCGACCTCCTGCCTGCCAAGCTCAAAGAGCTGAGGAGCAAGTTCGAGGACATCAAAGATTATTTTGTGAGTATAACCCTATCTCTTCTCCTTCTGCATTTTTTTTTGTTTTGTTTTGCAAGGTTCAGTGATTTGGATGAGGGGGAAGGCGGCTTCCTCCCAGCAGAAATGATTCGGGCGCATTTTGTGTTGCAAGGCGAGCAAGAGAAGTTCAGTTTCGTTGCTCACTGAGAGACAACATGCGAGGGTTTTCTTCCTAGTTTTAGTTATAATGATCTCTAGAAATTTCATAATGAATCTTTGCGAACTTTACCAGCCAGACTTTCCCCTAAAAGTGTGGCAGAAAAAATCGTTCACTGAATTAATAGGAAGGAAATAGTCCCTTCTTCAGGGCAACAAGGTCCAGCCTTGCTGAAGTCGACACTAGATGAAAAGGGAAATCTTTTGCTACAGACATTTTATTTTTGAAAGAACCACAAAAGCCTGAACCTGGTATTTTATGACTGGAGAAACACTACAGCAATGAGCACTTGCTTTGGTGCCTGTCACAGTTTGCAGCCATCAGGAGCCTGGGGGCTGCTGAGAAAGCAGCACAAGGTTTACTCAGAGCACTTGTCATTGCATCGGTCCTGGCAGAGGTGGCTGGTTACATCTTTGTGACCATTTTAGCTAATATTTTAGCAATAAAACAAGATAATTCTCCAGATTAGATCTCAAGTTATGTCACATGGCTTGTGTTTATTATCGAATGAACACAGCCAAGACTTTAAGATGTAAAGCTTCTGTAAAACTCCCAGTTAACATTGGAAAGGAATATTTTTAACCTCTTAGGAAAGCTTTTTAGTTACTTGGTGCCACAAGGTGATGCTTTGGGTGGTGACAGCCCACCCCACTGCAGCTCCTTGGGCTTCCAGAGCTGATGCTGCAGCAGGAGACACCGTAAGGACACACATCCGCTGCAGATTCCTTTTGCCAGGAGGGATTAAACCTTCCTGCCCGTAGGCGGCACTAGAATTTGTGATTTCTTTATTTTGCCTTCTTGACCTAACAGGAGTTGCTTTGCAAAGCTACGGACCAAAGAATTGGTGATTCCCGCACTTCTGCGTGCTGGGTGCTCTTTGCATTCACTTCAGCGAAACCATAAATGCAAATGAGCAAAACAACCTGTTCATAAGGCAAAGGGAAAAAGAGCGTTGACTGCCTGCCTAAGTAAATCACACGTTTCCCTCACGTTCTTCCACAGCAATCAAAAGATGATGAACTTAGCATCCAGCTGCTCAGCTCCGAACTGCTGGATGAATTCAAGGTAAGAACAATAACTTTCATCTAGAGTCCCTCATCCTTCCTCAACCTTCAGCCGACGTTTTGTAAGAGAGGAAGCACCCTGGAAACCAGGGCATTGCCTAATGTCACCCAAGAACAGCTCTCCAGACCAGCAGCACCACGTGTGCCCGCGGCGGGGCTGACACGGTTCTAGCCTGCCGCGAGCACCCCGACCACCGCCGCAATTTTGATTTTTAAAACCACCCACACCCGTCAGCGCTGGCGGCCGGCCCCAACGCAGTTACCTCCTCTCGCCCCAGGGAAGCTTCGGCTGCCAGTCGGTGTC